GAAACAAAAAGATTTGATTTCCATAAAAAAGAAGAAGAGAGATTATAAATAATAGAACCAAACAATAAAATAAAATAAGTCTGGACATAAATAAATGTAAACTGATATGCAGAGTTCCGATTCTGGATAAGGTGAAGTAACAAGGACAAGATTTATCCACTTGTTTCAATCCACCAAAATATGGGTGAACTACATAAAACTGTGGATGACAAGACAACGGACATCAGGAAAACAGGGTCGATGTTTCTAAGTTTGAGAGAAAAATGAAGTAATCCTTATAAAATGTCTAGTTCTTGTCTCGGGGGGAGTGTGCAGGTTGTGTCACAAGGAGAACTAACTGCAGATTTCCTCATTAGAAACAAAGAAAATGAAGATTTGGGTAAACGATTCAGGGCAGAGTATTGATGAGAAAAGAGAAACTCAGAGAGCGAGAACTCTGGGACTCAGCAGAAGGGCACCACAAGTATTCGGCTGAGTACTGTCTCGGGGCTCTGAAAAAGATACCAGGAAGTGAACATGTCAAAAGCATATACAGAACAATTTCTCTCTAACTTTCTCCTGCTCTCCTGACTCACTCATTCTTCCCCAAAGCAACCGTATAAACTAGAATTCTTTCCCAAGACTGGTCAGAAGAATCAGAACCGTTTCCTCCTAAGCCAGCCATAAAAGTCTAACTTTCTCTTACCTTTCTGTATATAAGTTGGCCTTGAAGAAATTCACCGAGCTACATTGTTTGATTGTAGGTTATAATACTGGCTATTCCAGAATGGTTCCTGACCCATACCCACAAGGAAGAAATGCTTCACAGGAGGCCCAGAAGAATCTGTATGCACGGGTTTTCCCACTCAGTCTCTTAGCTCTTACGATTTTTGTCCAATTGCGTTCCACAAGGCTGTTCTTACTATATAAAACAGAAGCATAGAGTTAGATAGCTTTGCTTAGATAGTTGGGCCTTTAATCTGCAGGGTCCTGTGTCATGTAAAACTAAAATCGAATAAATTTGTTATGCTTTTCTCTGTTAACCTGTGTTTGTTTTGAGGGTGTTGGTCATGATCCTGTGTAATAGGCAAGAAGAGGCTTTTCCCTTTTCTGCCCTACAACTAATAAATGCATATGAATGAGGAAGCAATCTGAATTCAGAAAAGAATAGCTTCAAAGGATGAGTTGTAACAGTACTCAGAACTTGAGGACTAGAAGTAGTACTTGTTCCTGCCATCCAGACTGAAATACTTGGAGTCGTAGTAAACTGAGTGCCAGACATGTGTTGCTTTAGTAGTGAGCCCTAGACGGACCTCTTCTCCAGCTTTAGCCCTAGATAGACCTCTTCTTAAGCTCAATTTATACTTTAAAAAGCAAGATACAAATGGATTAAACTGTTTCTGAGTAAACAATCTTCTGAAATAGAGTAAGACTATTTACGACAACATCAAAATCTCCAGTATTCAACAATTAAAATTCACATTGTAATGTATCCAATAAAATAATTTCCAGATATAGGAAAAATAGAAAAAAAAATAAAAGAGACCCATGATTGTGGAGAAAAATCAATCAACCTGACCCAGAACTGGCCTTAATACTAGAATTAGCAGAAAAGAACATTAAAGTGACTATGAATATATTCTACATATTCCAAAAGTTAAGTATATATGAGAAAAAATATCAACTGCCGCACTCTGTGGTAGAGACTGAAAGACTGGAGAACATAAAAATATTAAAAACTGTAATTGACACTAGAGACAAAGTGGAAAGAGAGTGTGGGAGGCAAAGAGCATAGGAAAGGAAATTTTGGGGGGAAATGGAGAGGTAAGACACTTTGGGTATACAGATAAGACTTTTTAATCTATGGATAAGGATATGTATAATAGTCTCAACTGGGCTGGACAGAGGTGAATATCATGCTGGGAAAGTCTCTTCACAATCTAGATGATTTATAGAAATTTAATGTATAAATAATAATTTAAAAATCAATTAAAAAAAGACCCAAATGAAACTCCTCAAAATGAAAACTGAAATATTTGATATGAAAAAAGTATGCTTGATGAGGTTAGCCAACAGATTATACACTGAAGAAGAAAAGGTAATAAATCTGAAGATAGAGCAATACAAACTTTAGAAAATGAAGCATTTTTTAAAAAAGGAATTAAAAAAAAATAGAGCATTAGTAAAATGTAGGACAACCTCAAATAGCCTAAGAAGCATGTAATTGGAATTTCTCAAAGGGAAAACAGAAAATAGTTGAAAATAATGACCAAAAATTTTGAGTCTGTTTGGTGAAAAGTAAAAATCCACAAAACCGAAAATCTCAATGAATCCTAAACCCCCTGGATTTAAAAAAACAACAAGAAAATAGATTGTCACATTATAATTAAATTTTAACAAAACAAAATTTCAAAACAGAGTGAAAAGATAGTTTATATATGAAAGAACAAATGTAATGGTGCCTTTTAACAGATTTGTTAAAAATCATGTAAGCAAGAAGGTAGTAGAGGGACATCTTTAAAAGCAAAACAAAAGAAACAAAAAAACCTGACAATCTAAATGTGTTCAGAAATTTTTAAAAAATTATTCATATACCAATAACTGATATTAAGAAAAACATTATAGGGCCAGTTGGTGGGGAAATAGTTAAGATGGCTGGATCCCCCATGGCTGACTAGATGGTTCAAGTTCTAAACCTGGAGCCTTGAAAAACACACCAGGTGTAATGTGTTCATGGCCAAAATCCCGAAAGGAGAATGGAGAAGGGATTGCGGCTTGGCCATCCCCCTTGGAGGGTGATTTCTTATTTTCTCTTTTCTGGTCCATCTCTCTCCAGTGAGCACACCACCCTATAGGACTCATTAGTACATTTATTGTACTATAAACCTAAAACATGGGGAAAAATGGGACACAGGAAACAAAATACTCAACAAAGGGGAAAAAAAAAGGGAAAATGTCTTATAAATATGTAGTATGGATAAAGTCTTATATAAATGTACTGATAATTACCTTCCAAGATAAGAAAATCTATTATAGATTCTAGAGTTAAATTAAGAAAGCAACACAAATAAGTAAGTCAGTTTTAACTTCAGTGGAAACAGTTACACAAGAAATTGTTACATAATTGTAGCATACTTTCTTGCTCAATAGATTTAGAGTTCTGTAATGAACATTGATTAAATTTAACAAAATTATTATGTAATTACACTGGAATGATCTAAGTGAGTATGTATGTGCATTTAATACTGTCATTGAAAAAATAAAGATAAATGGCAAAAATCATGCTAAGAATTTTAATTTTTTTAAATTTTTATTTGGATAAAAAGACAAACAATGAACAAAAGCAAAATACCAGAACAAGGTAAAAGAGAGACAACATGAGAAAAAAAAAAGCTTTATATTTTAGTATCCTTAGCAGTGCTTTTTTTCCCTGCTTTTAGAAAATGACGCCCATATTTTCATTTTGCACTAATTCCCACCAGTTATTTAGCTGGTCTTACATTAAGAATCAAGATTGGAGGAGGATGGTAGGTAGCAGAAGAGAAGTATTTTTGTTTTTCATATCATCTGTTAAATATGTTAAATTAAAAATGAGTATTGCTTTTTGGAAATTAAAAAAAAATCAATTAAAATAATAAAAGAGTAATAAGTACAGTTACCCAGAGAAAGAAAAGCCTTGCTTGGCAGAGGAATCCTGTGTGAAAATAATATGAAATTGGGGACCAGCAGGTGGCATAGTGGTTGGGAGGCTGGACTCCCACATGGCCAACTGTTTCAAGCCATCAAGTGTCAAGCCATCAAGTTTTGAACCCTGTAGCTTGAAACTCACTCCCAGCATGTGTGCATGCATGCCCAAAATCCCGAGAGGAGACTGGAGGAGAAAGAGATTGTGGTGCAGCCGTCCTCCTGAGGGATGATTTTTTGCTTTCTATCTCTGTCTCTTCCGGTATCTCTGGAAAGTGCACAGACCCTATAGCAAAAACCTCTCAAAAAAAAAAAAAAAAGATGTGAAATCAGTGAAGATGGTTGTGAGACAGCTTAAGCTGACCAGAATTCAAAGTAGGAGTGTTACTAGTGAACAGACTGATAAAAGCAGAAGATAGATCACAGAGTCATGACCTAGAGGAAGGAATTAGGACTTATTTATTCAAGCCATGGGGAGACATTGAATAATTGTTATCAAGTCAGATTTTTCTAAGAGTAGATTCAATTACATAGGAGACTTTAAAGTGAGCAGTTATAATTTTTTTTTCTGATATAGGCCCTCTCCAGTAATAATACATGGTAATGATTTAAAAATAAAATGTTTACATGAACCATAGGAAAAAATTTGCAGATCAGTGTATTTGGATTTATTTTAAAATTACTATAGATCAATTTTTTAATATTATAGATGAATTTATTGAAGTGATGAAATTTCATCACGATATCACAATATTTTTAGGATCAAAATAGAACACTCTAGTTTTTTTTTTTTTTAAATAAGAACTGTAAGTTTTCATAAGTGACTTTTACTTTCCTTATATAAGATGTTATTTTATTCTTGCTACTTTAGAGGAAAATGACCAGAAAAAACTTACAGATATTTTTCCCATAGCACACTATTATTTTAAGTTCACCTGCAGGAAAAGGATTTATTTGGCTTGTGTAAATGTCTTGGGATCTTCTGAAGCAGACTGGTTCTTGCCTAGATGCGATGGCATCCTCGCTTGGGAGAAAGGGACGAAGCAAAAAAATTGTTCAACTCTACTGAGTAAATAATTCTGAGCGAGGTGACTTAAGTTTCTGAAGATGATGAATAGCTATGTAGGCAAAGTCAAGGCTACATTTCCTTAAGGGAAAAGGGGAATGATGAAAATCATCAATGAACAGCTAAAGAACAGAAAAAATGCAAATGTCCCTAATGCTCCCTCAATGAGGTGCCAAAAATGTATTTAAAATGTTAAACTATTGTTACAATTTGAAAGCATAAAAATTGTATAAGCTGCAAACGCAAAATGGAAGAGATAACATAGACTCACACATTTGTGGATTTCCTTCTTTTAATAACTGACAAAAACGCTTTGATCAAGTGGATTCTGTTGACAGAGATTTTTTGTAGCAGATGAAAGCTCTTATCTGGAAGCTATGAAATAGAAAAACTGTTTGGGAAGATTGCTTTGAATGTCAGTTTCCCTGCATTATTCAAGTTTAGGGATTTAAAAAGCACAAAAATGTGTGTGACAAAAGATACAATCCAACATGCACTATAGCATATAACAGTTTATTGCCATTATTATCATTAAATAGAATACTCTTACAGAAAACATTGCTCCCCATTCAGAAATTACACCAACTGGTTCTACGATCTTTTTTTCTAATGAAAATTATTCTGTACAATATGAGTTTCTTTTAAAATAATACATACCAACCAGTTTAGCCAGTGAGCTTTTCCTATTAACTTAGTTACAGTTCTCGAAAACCACATACACTTGGTCCAATGCCAATAAAATGTCTGAGAAGATGATAGAAAAAACTGTGTATGGTTTTTTTAAAAAAAGAAGAAGAAGACCTAAGGTGAAACTGTCAGTAGCTTGTTAAAATTTATGCATCTTGAGGAAAAACTAATTGTATCAGATTTTAACCATGTTTTATAAGGGGGAGGTTTCTCTTCACATTCATTAACTTAATTGGCACAGTAGAAGTTTTAAGTGGCCTTTCACCTTTGGATATGAGATTATAGTTTTAGCAACAGCTTTTTAAAATCCGTATAATGATTTAATAGAAAGGAGTTCAAGATTCTACAGCTTTTAGAAAGAAAATACAAAAAAAAAAAATACAGCATCAGAGGAGTCTTCATAGTTGGGCCAAGAGAAACTTTGGAACCAAGTAATAAATATTTTACAATCAACTGTTTTATAACAGTCTGCCTGGCAGTCATGGCCAGGATGATTTAGAAGGTGAAGTGGATAATCCCCCAGTGGGATTATTTTCTTCTTCAGTGACCTTTGTAGCTCTGAGTTTGAACACACCTTACAGAGAAAGCAAGGTGTAGGAGTGATGAGTTGAGGCCTCACCACTATGCTGCAAGTTTAACATTTAAATGTTTGTTCAAAAAAAAAATCTAATTAAAATGAGAAGTAATATACTTACACAGTAGAAGATACATAGTTGTGATTATTAAACTCCTATGGATTATTTTTAAAAATCTTTGAGCTCTTTAGTTCTTTATTTAAATTTTCTTTTAACTCAACATAGAAAACTGTTACAGAAGCAAATGGAAATACTCAAAGAAATGGTAAGGTTTTGAAGTTTTCATGGTTCTTCCAGGAGCAGAAAGGGAGCAGGGGATTGTGAAAATGTAGTTGTACTTGAGTAAGTGTGCGTATAGCTTTTTATCTGGGTGCTTCTGGGATGATCGTGGGATGTCTTACTTAGGATCTCTAGTTTCGTTATGTCCTTCCATGATCCATGCAGTTTTCTCTTCTTCCACTCATAAGGATTTAAAACAATTGATATCTTAAAAAAGCTATTTTTTGCCATGGATACCCCAGTTCTCAGAGAACCACTAATTACAGAAAGAGATTAATATAAAAATTATTTGAATTTTACCAATTAAAGACAATGAATAGGAAATACTGAGCAATTCCATGGTCATGGGGTTTCTGTGGAAAAAATTTAGGGTGGTGAAATCTGGCAAGATACATTTCTTTACGTTACATCTTCCTCTCGAGCTATGGCTTCATTTCTTCTCTTTTAACCTTCCATTTTTCTTTAGTTTTGATTAAATCTCTTGTTGAAAGATATTTATTTTACTTAGGATGATAGATTGCTTGTGGAAAGAAATCAGACTGCATTAATATGTCTACTGTTCCAACGTATTGGGAGAATCTTGAAATTTACAAGAAAATGTCACAAATATCAAAGAAACATTATAATATCTACTGTAAAATCATTTCTATACCTAAAGCATACTATAAGAAAATACCTTATTTTGACAGGCTCTTACAATCATGAAATATAAGTTAATGTGTGTTCTTTTATATACCTGCAGAGACGTTTCTTGATTTATGCAAGTATAGTCTTTCTCTGCTGGTGATAGTCACAGTTTGTTGGGAGTAGCAGAGCCCACCATTAAGCTCATGTAATACATATTTTTAAAGTACAACTATTTTAAAAAAGGAAGACAGAATGATCTTTATATGTAGGTTTTCAAAGGGAATTTTGAAACAAGAATGTTGTAATATTATTATGATAAAATCAAGGGATGCCAAATGTTTGCCCAGACAGAACCTTACAGTGCTGCAGTACCTTGTTGGAATCACAATGCAAGATGTGATCATCACGCGTCATATCTAGAAATGCAACTGGCAGAGTGCTCAAGATCCATTCTTCCATGGATTCCAAGCTTATTAGCCTATTGTATGAATTAGCATGCTAGGGAGAAGTGATCCTGTTACCTCGTGGTTAAGGAAGCCAGATCCCACATGGCCAGCAGAGGTGCAAGTTCCAGTCTCAGCATCCTCAAAAACACACCAGACACATTTGTGCCTGCATTCCCCAAATCCTGATGAGACAGAGAAATGGAAGAGATAGTATTGCAAACCAAACCCCAGCGTGGATGCTTTCTCCTGCTCCTTCCTTCTCTCTGTCTCCCTGTTTCTCTGTCTCTCTCTGGCAAGTGTGCATACCTTCTGGTGCTAGATAGAGAGCCAATGGTGGTGGAAAGATAATATATAATGTTCTTCAGGGTAATCCCACCTCAATTCTAAAGACTACCCCACCTCAGCATGTGCCCAATAATCTGGGGCTTGCCGAGGGTAGGGGCAGATCTTGGCATGAAGGCCCTGTTGAGGGCGCTGTCTCACTCTCTCTCTCTCTCCATCTTTCTTGATCACAGAAGAAAAACTAAACAAAATGAAAACATAAACCATTTTTAAAAAGGTGTTAGGAAGTTAATTTATCCAAGAATTATAGTTACCGAATAGACTGGATCTTTCATGATCAACAGTCACAGTATTCTTTTCCTGATTTTTCAATTTATGTTTGAAGACAAATTATAAAATAAAGATTTGCTCACTGAAGACAAAAGACATCAAGCTGAGTTAGAAGGAACTCTCAAAGCTTATGCATCATTGTTGTAAAATTTGGGTGGCTATTCAAGTACCCATTCCTGAGAGGTTATAAAGAGCAGTTTTTGGTATCCTTCCTCAAACCTTTATGATTGACTAGTAACTAATATTTTGAAGCCCTCTTATTCTTAAAAGATTAGTCTAACGTAAGTAGTCTACACTTTATCAATTTTATGAATATGTGAGTATATCTACATAGGTAAGTATGTTTGAGAAGCCCTTACTTATATGAGCTCTGTTAAATTTAAGTCTTTCCAAGGTGACATCATGGAAAATCTCTCCAAGAAATTTTGGAAAACCCTTTCTGTGGGAAATGTTTCATCACATTCTAATGCAGAGCTAGACAATAAAAATGATACGAATCAGAAAAAAATATGCAGGACTCCTTTTTTATTTTTCTATCATTTTCATTTTTGTCTTTCTACCATTTCAATCTTGTTAAAATTGTCATTCAATGACCATTTGAAAATTATTAGAGACTTCAAAGCTTTATTGGATTTGGAGTTAATGTGATGCCAAAAACATAACTGACAATTGCTGTGAGTATTCATTTTTCTCCCAATTCACAGACAATCAAATTCATTCCCACCTTATGAGATGCAGCCATCATCAGTCACCTTGGTCTATCAAAACAGTCAATCTACATAATGGGAAAATGTAAAAATCCCAGGGTCAGGAAAGAGCTCTTGCTCCTGGAAAGCTACAGATTATTTTATCAACATATCACAGCAATTCAGCTGTGTGTTCAGCAGAGGTTGGACAAATATCTGTTGTGTTCTATCCCTCTTTCCAAATGAGCAGGAAATAGAGTTTTCGAGGTTAAGCTATCGTTCTATACAAACTTCTCTAAAAATTTTTTATTTCCTACTTACTTTTCCTACCCATCTCACTTTTTAACCTACAAAATAAATTTGTTTGTAATTCTATTATTGAAAAAAAGATATGAAGTATTATAACTGGAACCCACATGTAAATATCTATCCCAATTTGCTCTCCAAATCAGTATAGAAATAAAATATCATTTAGTATTTAGTAAATATATACCTAGTCTCTTCCAGCTTATCCATGCTTGTCAACTGCTCTCCTGAGAGTTTATTCATATATTTGCTTTTTGGTGTGATTCTTGGTACATAGACTAAAATTCTGGTAAGGTCCTAAACAAGTTGTTTGAAGATCTGAAAAGGGAATAACTATGGAGAGAAATTATCTTAAATCAATTTTCAGATTTTTAAGAAAAAAAGT